GCATATACACATATAGAACATGTCTATTTCAGGCTAACAGCAAAGTTCCCAAGTGAACTATAAAAATTTCCAGATTAAGATTTCTTTAAAAAGTATTTCCATGTTGGGATTCATTTGCATGTACGCAAAACTACACACATTAACTCTGGCATAAACCTGGAGTGTATGTCATCAAGGACCCAGGCAAAGCTCAAAACCAGGAAACTGAGCCAGTGGTGAGGCTTTAAAGGCCCTTTAATAATGTTTGCATAAGTTTTAAAAATAGAGATTGTTCACATACAATTTATAAAACAGCCCCCAAAATGGACAGAATTATATTAACTAATGATATAGGATCCTATCATCAACATTTTTTGAATGATCCTATGAAAGGCTCGACAATCCTGGAATTTTTTCCATTCCTTAAATAGTGAAGCCTCCTCTGTACTGAAGAGAGAAAATTCAAGACTCAGCCCCTAGGTTACACACATCTTAAAACGCATGTGCCAACCGCTGGAGGCTGTGGCGCCCTAATCATCACCTGTTTCACCACCACAGCCCCCTGCTGCTCTAGGGCTTTCAAGCTCCTTGAGCTGTGAACTCCACTTTCTAGAGCTGCCACACAAACAGTAAACAAAACTCATTGTGCTTTCACCCCACTAAGCAGCTCTGTCTTCTAGCTCACCCAGATGCCAGAAGGGGGCAAGCCAACGTTTTCTTGAGCAGTCACTCCCAAAATGGCACAACAGAGGCATATGAAGCTGCTGCCTAGGAAAGATCTGGCAAACAGCTGGGTATATCCTGCATAAGGCAAACCTTAACCAGCTGCAGAGATTCACGGGGTCACAAATATTCAGAAACTTAGTTCACCATGTTAATTCAACTTTGAAAGGATTTTCATTTATATTTATGATAAACTGAGCTTTAAATTAAAGAAAGGTTTAGATGCTTTAAAATTTATGAATCTTTGTAAATCCACATACACGGTCAATTAAAGTTTATCACCATCAGGTGATAACTATCTTTGGATAAAAACTTCAGAGGTTATTTGTAGCGAGGCTGTTCCCCACACTGCATTACCATCAAGGTATAAATTACAGCTGCCCAAGATGAAGTTTAACATCCTGCAGTAAGCACCAAAACGTTCACCTTACTCAACACTTGTTTTGCTGCAAGTTAATTCAACACGAAAACAATTTCCGGGTGGACAGGAAGCAAAGGGGGAAATGCGCAGCTCAGTAGAAGTCCTGATCTCACAAACTTGCAAGCCAGGCTAAACCTACAAGGGAAATGCAGGCCCTGAATTTTAAAAAGAATTCAATTAGCATCCCCAGTATTTCCATAATCAACAGCTGAATGCTAATTACGATCACAGCATCCAGCAGCAGTGGAATCCCAGTGCAATAAGTAACAACACAACAGCAGCAAGTGCCACCTTCAGCTTGCATGCATAAGTAAACAGAATTAATAACTATCCAAGCATGGAAGGGTGACTTAATCTGTTTCGATTAGGTGCAGTTCAGCCTGAGGCCTTTGTGTTATATTTAAATGTGTTCATCATGTTTAATTAAAAACCTAATAATCAAGGGTTTTGGTTTTTTTACTAAAAGTTCTGATCTGTTTTCCCCCCTTTCTCTTTTACAAGTCTGACTGGTTTGGATGGCTTCCTGAAAAGGAATATTTTTAGTATAAAATAAGAGAAACTGGCTAACATCAACCTGAACTCTCAAATGCAGAAGCAGCCATTACTGTGGCCCCGACCCTACCCCCACCTTGAGACTGAACAAGCTTCATGAATTTCTTTTAAAAAGCTGCTCTGCTGTGAGGGATCTGTGTGACTGGGAGACTTTGCCACGAGCTGGCTTCGAAGGCGCTTCCCACAATCACGCCATTAAGGAGAGTTCATTTGTCACCACCTGGCCTCAAATTTAACAGAAATTGGCACAAATCTGGCTTTAGTTCAACAAGATTCAAAGTATCTCAGGCCCAAAGCAACTTCAGTAAGAAATACTATATCTATACACACGTAACACGTAAACGGTCACAAGAAATGCCTAATGTGATGAAAGGCCTCCCGATGTGTAATTTTGTGGCCTGAGAGCTCAAGCATTGGTGATTATCTGAAAGACCAAGGAAGAAGAGGCTGGGGAGTATCATTATTATTAAGAACAGTAATAACTGGGGAGCTTTCCCAAAAGTAAAATGTTTAAGGGCAACTTTGGATGCATGTTGTAGGGTAAGGAAAAAATGTCAGGCTTTTCTGCCCTCCCGCCATCAGGATAGATGATGGATCTGCAGTCCTGAATGCATGCCTGATGGCAGCACCTGGAGTAGGGTGTGGGCCTAGGTAGATGAGATCCACCTGGGCTAAGACTGTGCTTTTTAAGGGCGGCATCACGGGGACGCCAGTAGAAGCCAAGAAGCCAAGAACGAGCAGAAGCCGAGAGAGAAGCAAGAGAAGCAGACGCTGAGAGAAGGCCGGAGAACTCAGATAGAGTGAAGACTTGCTGGGGGCCAGGAGGCTGGCAGGCCTCCTGGCCCCCCAGCACCCCTGCCTGTGTACCGGGTAAATCCCAATAAAAAGACCTGCAAAAAGCCACTAAGGACTCTGACTCCTCCTTCACCTGGTCTGCATGGGATCAGAAAACCTGCTCAGTGGTCATTCCTGCCTCTACACATGTGTAAGTGTTTCTCCTTGATGCTGATTTTCACTTATTACCTAACACAAGGTCCAAAATGCTGGATTACCGAGAAGACTCTTTAAAAGCACTAACCTTGAATAAAGAGCTGTCAGTGTTCCTCAAACCCCTCACAGGTACAGACATCATTCACACCATTAGTAAGTCCCCACTCTTAAGTTTGCAAACTAGGAGGCCATCGGCTCAGAAATGAAGCCGGAAAGCTGGTGATGACAGGAAAGCTAGCAGGCAGAGGCCAAGCACCAAGCGCCAGCCCAGAGGCCGATGGAAGACGCAGCTGAGGAGAGGCACTATCGAGGTGAATGCACAGATGGGCTCAGCCTGGAGGACTGTCAGAGTTTGGGTGGGTGAGAGAGCGGTCTATGGCAGAGCACAGGCCCCAGGAGAGGCAGGAGGCACAGTCAAAGGGGCGCACTGCCCCCCTGGCACACACAGGCCTCAGCGCAAGCAAACGGAAGGCAAACAGCGTCATGGGCACTGCTGTAGTCAGACCAGCAGCTGGGTGCACTGGAGGCAATGAAGTTTAAAAATAACCCGATGTCCATGCAGGCAGAAAACTGAGATGGGAAAAAGTGGGGGAGGCAAGCCTGTGGACTTATTTTAGTAAGGACACATCTGTTTTGCTTTCTTTCTGTAATTCCTGGGGTAGAAAAAATGTGGAGGGGGCCATGCAGAGCAGGCATTTTCCCACAGTCCCGACCAGTGAACACCAGGAGGGTCTCGCTGGTGTCTGCACCTCGCCGTGCATGCAACTTTCAAAGATGTGATCTAGATGCATTTATCAGATGCCTATTTCAGCCTATCAGTTATTAAGCCACTGTCTGGTTCACTTTTGAGGTATTATGAAATAAAGCTTAACTTCCCATAAATAAGGGGGCTACCTGATCCCTCAGCTCTCAAGGCTGGGTAACCACCAAACACTTCTCAGAACTCACACTGAGATAAGGGGTGCAGGGGGTGAAAATGGGACAGGCCCACAGAATCCTTGCGCGGATCACCTCCAGCCCCAGGACGCAGCCTCGGATGCCCAGCACTTATGAGCTACAGCTTCCTATTCCAGAACCAAGTGGGGCCTTACCCCAGTTCTTGTATGTATAAATAAATTAAAAAAAAAAAAACTTAAAAAAAAAAAAAGATTTGCTTTGGGGGAAAAAAAACAAACAGAAACTTTGTCATAAAAACCCGGAGCCCTCCCCACCCACCTCTCCTACACACTCCTGCAGACACAGTCTTGCCTATTTCTCGAACGTGCCAGGCACGTTCTCTTTTTTCCAGTATCCAAGAAGCTCACCTACTTCACTAATGTCTAATGTCATAAGCTTCACTAATGTCTCCACTCAAGTGATGCTTTCCAGGCCTTTCCCTCTCCTACCAATGGATTCCCTTCCTCCTCGCCTGGCTCCATCTCCCCAGTGCCTGCCCCCACGCCACACAGCCCGATTCTTGGATACTCTCAAGTCACGTGCCTTGTGCAGAGGGAGCCTGTGCACTCCTAGCATAGCACCTGGTACATAAGGAACATCAATAAATATTGCTTAAAATAAACAAACAAAATCCGAGCAGGATCAAGAAAACACCTAAAATTTCTCTTCTTAGCATTTTTAAAATATCAATCGGCACGTTTTGTCCATGCCAGCCTTCATCTCGGTTTCATTAAACCCACAGGCAAACGCAAAGCAGCAGCACTCAGTTGACCACTGAATTTGCAGCAACACAAGAAACCTGTAACGTTACCTTCTGTAAGCAATACCGTTCGAAAGTCACAAGACAGGATGTCTCATGAGGACTCTTGGCTCCTGGTAGGGAGCCCAGGGCTTTGCAAATCTGTGTTCCTGGACTCATTTCTCTCCCAAGCTCTTCAGTGGGCCACAGTGACAGAATAAACACGTCATGCCACTGTGTTTAGCCAAGTCTATGCGTCCTGCTTTAGACCAATGTCCTTCAAGAGGTCAGGGGCCTTACCAGTCCTCAAAATGGAAACAAGTCACCAGCCCTACTCAAAGTTATATGCCAATCAGTTTTAACATGCTTAAAATAGGAAGGTACCAAGAGTTAGCGCGCACCAAAAACCAACCAAGCAAAAATAACTTTTTTAAAGAGTAACTTCCAATTTCTTCTCTCCCTCCAGGAAACCCAGGACAATCCTGTTCATCCGCCATGCTGTCGAAGCTCAGCAAGGCCACGTCCTTCTGTACAACTGTGAGGCTTAAAGGGTTTGATTTTCCCTTGACAAAAGGCAGGTTGCCATGTGGTCTGCCCACAAGACTGGGTCAACAGACAAGCCCTTCTCGTTTCCCGCGAGGCCCAGGCCGGGGTGCTCACCACTTCGTCCTCGGTCCAGCACTTTTCGATCAGCTTGGGCACAGGCTTCTTTACCAGGCGCTGCAGGGCTTTGCCAGCATCGTAACCGCTTTCGTGTAGCTGAAACAAAACGACGTTGGTGAGTTCAGTGCACCAGGTACCAGAATGGGAGCAAATGGGCAGGAGGGAAGCCCTGAGCTGAGTCTCTGCTAAGGCTCTCGGGACCGGTGAGCAGATGCATACAGCGTCAGGGGCCCCTGGCTCTCACCCAGCTCTCACCCACCTCCCACCCGGTCCCTGCCGAGGCTGCTCCGGGAGCAGGAGACAGGTGCAGCAGGAACCGCCGTGGGGGAGAGGACAGGATGAGACCCAACTGCACCTGCACTGGAGGTCTGGCTGGGGCAGTGTCACGCAGCCCCTGCATTCAGTGTCTTCTTTAACCCCATGGGAAAGGCACCTACTCCCTGTACCTGAGGTGCAGAAACTACCGGATGAGGAAGGGAAGCACAGGAAGGCCAAAGAGAGGTGCTCACTACCCTGAGCCAGCAGAGGTTGGAGCCAGGCCTCCACCCAGCCAAGGTGATCCCCACAGTGGTCTCCTCCCTAGCATGAAGACACACTCTATGGTATTCTCTTTAGTGCTTCCGCTAAAAAATTCCCAGTCCCCGAAAATAAAGAGCTTTCTAAAGAAGCTAATTCTGTACCAGTACCCTGAATTTTCAGAACCTATGACGCAGACACTGGTTTATCTACACATTCCTTTTACGACTGGACTTTTCTCCCGTCACAGCTTGGGAACTTTCACTCCACAGCCTTTTCAACCCGCAGTGTCCGGCACCACGGACCCTCTCTGCCTTATGTCTGTGACCCTATCTACAGCTACAGTCTCAACACACAGATGGAGAGAAGCAGCAGAAAGATCCTTTTCCTCCATCCTCCTCCCCAAACTACAGCGGCCCCCTAAATCCCCACTGGAAATCTGCCTTTCCCGTACAGATTTATTTGTCTGACATAAGAATCGGCTTCGGCCAAGACTTGCTCTTCAGTGCCTCAGTCTGTGGCACGGGCCATCCTCCAGAAACCCTTACTGATGTGAAGAACAAAAGCCTTCACCTGGTGTCCCTGGGTAGGCACCACGCAAATCTCAAGCTCAGTTTACGTTCATTAGCTCAGCTGTCTGCTGCCTGCCTGTCTGTTGCATTTCAAGCTCTGTCCATTGCTTGAACAAAGCAGGCAAGGCAGGGCTCTGCACAGAGCGGACATCTCATTGACCCCCTGCACCTTAACCCTCCCACCAGCATCTGATAAACACTCAGCACAAATAAGTCACTACCTGGCGGGGACGCCTGGCAGGGACACCAGCTCAGGAGCGCTGTAGTCATTACTATCACCCAGGTGAGGCGAAGAGCCAGACTCAGAGTGCGGTATTTCCTCGAGGGACCCACACACTGCCTTGCACCCACTGCTGTAGCCCTTGGCTGGGCAGCTGTCACTGTCCCCCATAACCATCCAGTGAAATCTAAATACCGAAACACACTGCAATCTCTCTTGCAGCGACTCAACTGCCATTGGAAGGGTGAGGATTCTCACGGTTCGGAGGGAGCCCTGCATAACTCTAACAGTGCATCAGCTCCCTCGAGATGGGAGATGGATGCTGGGCCCTGCCTTGGAGGTGCAGTGCAGCACACCCACCTGGAGGGGCTGCGGGGGAGAAGGGCCAGATGTACGTAATGAAGATCAGTGCTGGATGTTACCAGCTATTTTTGTGATAGTCACCACAAGACTATTTTAAAAATGAACTACTACTATATTTTGCGAATGTCTGAAAACTGCCTAGCCTTCTTTTAGGAACATGAAAAGACAGATTTTCAAACTTTGACCAATAATCAGAACAAGTAAGTATTTGCCAAGTTCTATAACATGATGACGATCTAGAAGAAGAGCTGAACAAATGGCTCAGACAGAATGGAGAAATTGCTGCCTACTTAATTATAAAAAGCACATATTTTCGTGATAATCTGAAATCGATTCAAGCTGATCAAGTCATAAATTTTTAATGAAGAGGTCATGGCAAAATTAACACTTTACTCACCAGGTTTGTGACCTCAGGCAAGTGCCCTATCTTCTTTGGGTCTCAATTTCATCACCTTTAAAAATGAGTAATAATAACATCTACCTCTTACGGGCTATTAGGAGGACAACATTGGGAAATATATGTAAATTGCTAGAACTATACCTGGCACACGAATGCTCTGCCAACTGTTTACTTTTAAAAGGGGAGAAATATAAAGGAGGCGGTCTCTGATTTTTACCAACATTCTGAAGAGCAGCCTTTTCAGATAAAGAAATAAAATGCCAAACCAGAAACAAAACCCACTTATGTTTTACATAAATACTGGAGTTAATAATTTAGTGAATTTGATTAAAACTCTGGTGTATTATACAGAAAAAAACAAGTTTTGAAATCTTATACAGCAGAAAGCAGGCAATTACCTCACAAGCACAAGGCCCACTCCAAAAGCAAACGGCTGAGCGAGTGAAGTAAATCGAGTCACTGATCCGGGAACATTCCTGCCTGTCAGGGAGCCCAGGGCACTGCAGACGCCAGCTGAAGAGCCCATGAACCCGAGGCTGTCCTGGCTACGGCCTACACTGCACGCGGCAGGCAAGCCCTCCTTTCCCGTAACCCCATCTCCCTGTGCTCTGAGGGGCTTCCCATGCCTCAACCGCCCATAGTATGAGCCAGAAAAATACTTTCAAGCATCCTCTCCACCTCCATGCAAGGACATATTTGAAAAGTAAATCGTGTGGGATCATTTACCAGCAGTGATAAAATCCTCATTGAAGAAATGAAGTTAGGATACCATTGTGCTGTCAGCAGTAATTCACAAAGGTCAGTTCGAAAGTACGGTCAGGGTCCCTTCAGCACACCTCTTCCTGGGGACCTAGAGCACATCTTTCTAAACAGTCACCTTCTTCTCAATGTTCCCCGCACCCCCCCCCCCCACAGCTTTCCAGGAATCTTTAATAAAGAAATGTTTTAATTCTAATTTATTAAAGACTGACTTTTAACCAGAAGGCATGTCCCACATACCTTCACATGAAGAACTACCTTTTGAGTCCTCTGGGAAAACTAGGTGTGTTTAGAACACCCCTCACTCCTTCCACACTCAGTGAGTGTGAAACTGCCTGAGCAGCTGTCCTAGGGACCAGGGACAGATACAGCAGTGAATAATCAGATAGTGGATGTCGAAAACGTATGCCTAAGATAGTGTAACCTGTGAGAGTCACTGAAGCAGCTGTGCCCAGGTGACACATCTATCGATCTATCACATCCAGACTCTAGGTCCCCACGGGTTTGCCCCACCTTCTTGCCCAATGCATTTCTCACAAGTGAGCCCCTCTTAGAAGGGATTTGCTTTATAGGTGGTTGTGAAGATTTTCTTTTTTCAGATAGTGACTATGTTTGAAGAAGAGCCAAGCTGGATATTTCACCAACTGCATTAAGTCGGAATGGGTAAGCTTACCAAAATAATGGCTCTTAGAGCTGTAAAAACTGTCATTAGAAATATTCCCCTCTCATAGAGCAATGCATTCTAAAGGAATGAAATAATCTCTTCTTGCGAAGACCACTGGTTTCAAATTGTAGACCCCTGATCATGACCACACAGCTACATCTATACAGTCGAAAAATCCAGTGAAGCTTCCCAATATTGCTAAGGCAAACGGTCCTTTAATGTAAGATTTTCTACCATTTCACTACAGAAGATTGTTCAAAGGAATTGCAGTGAAAACAGGAGGAGGAGGGAGAACCCTGAAATGTCTGACAGCTTCAGTTTGTAGCCTTGGGGGAGAAAAATGAAAGCAGGTTGTAAATCTTTCTGTTCATTCTGCAGCCAAGCCAGGCCGTTGAAATCTGGGATTAAATGCAATTTTAATGTAGGGTACAGTGAAGTACACCATTTTGAAACTACTGAGAGAAGATCACTGTAAAAAGCAGGGACCAAGATACAGTCTCTAACTCAGCCTCTAACATTCTTTAACTCGGTAGCCTTTGTGAGCTACTGGTGGAGAAGCACTTTTGTAAATACCTTACCTTTCACCCCGCCAGCCACCACCGTGTGCGCATGCATGGTCCACTCATCAGAGAAGCCTGTGCCTGTAAACCTGCCACCTCTCTATCACTGACCTGCAGTCTGTCCTTCCACACGAGCAGACCCTTCTATCCTTAGGATCTGGGCAACTTAACAGTAGGAATCTCCACCAAGCCCCTGGCCTTTTGAGTCATTCCACTAGGGAATTAGCTGGTTTTTCTGTTTTCTACCCATTTGTTTTTTAGTCCCGGGCTTGCTCAATACAACCGCAGGTCACGTTCCTTCCTTTTTGGTGTGTCCACTGTGAAGGAGCCCACAGGAGCCCTTCCTCTCTCAGGTATCAGCTCTCCTCCACCACCGCGCTGTGGTGCCCTGAGACCCAGCAGGACAGCCCAGCCTCAAGACCAGCCCCTCACACCGTTCTCCGCCTTCCGTTCACTCACAAAGAGTTACTGAGCAACTGAGCTAGCAAAGGGGTAAACCTGCTGAGCCCTGAGCTAGCAAAGGGGTAAACCTGCCCCGAGGAGCAAGGCCAGGCATGAGTGAGCCACAGAGTGGACGTGGTGGGGGACTCTGGTGCTTAAAAAAAAAAAAAAAAAAGAGCAGCTTCTGGGCCTCCCTGGTGGCGCAAGGGGTTAAGCACTATGAAGCCATCCGCAGCCACTGCAGCAAGAGTTCAATCCCCGGTGAGGGAGCTACCCAGGTGCAGCAGACCTCTCCTGTCTCCCTGCTGCTCCCCTCAGCAGTGTATTTCAGTACATCCACCTGTTCTGCTCCCTACTCTGCCTCTGGTGGATCCTCTCACCCCCCCCCCACACACATCTGGCCTGTACCCCAGTTCTTGTATGCTTAAATAAATAAATCTTAAAAAAACAAAACAAACAAACAAAAAAAAAACCAAGCAGTTTCTGAGAAACAAACTCCTGGTTTGGTGCTGTTACAGGGCAAACACCCAAAAAAGCGCTAAAAACTTACAGTGAGACCCAACTGCAGACACACACCAGAAGGTTAATAAGGGGTTTATTT